AAATTCCACCAGTTTTGCCACTAGTCTTTTTCTAAGCATAGGAAACCTGGCACTAGGGAAACGGCAAATGCCTCCCTCCCTCTCAAGAGCTGCTTTTAGGGAAGCCTTTTTGCTGACAGGCAGGAAGGGCAATGCTGCGCAGCAGCTACCTGCGATTTAGAGGCCGTCCAGACCTCCCCCCCAGGACCATCTCACACCCTGAGCTCTCCTTAAGAGCTGTCTGAACACAGAAGTACAGGTCAAGCTGCGGAGGGCGACCAATGTTCCTACCCCTAGAAGTGACAGGACAAGCCACCACTAAAGAGCTCATCTTCTTCTTCTAGACCTTTCAATTACGTGAGTTCATCCTCTGCAAACTCACACCAAGCTGCACTTACTCATGCGGCTTAATCACAAGCAGGGAGATGTACAGACATGAAAAACACCTTAAAATTATCCCAACAGTCTAGAAATTAAAAATGTAAGTAATATATAACACCAGAGGACTTCCCAAGCAGCTTAGTGACTTACACAAACAGCTCAAACTACGACTCCGCAGTCTCCACAGCAGAGCTGCTGGGACAGGCTTCACCTATTTGCACATTTTTTTTTTTTTTATTAGGATGCCAACGTGTGCGCGTTACAAAACCAGAACGCAAGCAACACCGCTGCAAATACAGAGAACACACACGGTATTTGTAGTCTGGGCCTGATGCTGAGGCAGCCGGGATCTGCCTCGGGAACGTCCCACCCTAGAGTAAAAAGCCCCCCGGGACACAAAAGGCGACCGGCGGCGGCCCGGCAGCCCGGAGCGGGCCCGAGGCCCGGGCCTTCCCCTTCCGAACGGGGATCCCGGCAGCCGCGGGCCCGCCCCGCCCGGCGCAGCGACAGCAACCGCGCACGCAGCCGGTGCCGGCCCGTTTCCCAGGAACTCCCGCCGGGAGCGGGCAGGCCCCCGGGAGCGGCGGCTCAGCCCGGGCTCCCCCGGCCGCCTCGGCCCCGGGGAGAGCCCGCAGGCGGGGAGCCCCTTCCCTCGCCCCGCGGGCCGGGCCGCGGCGAGGCCTTCCCGCCCCGCGCCGGCTGCCACGTCCCTGGCAGGCCGCAGGCGCCGGGCCGGGCCCCCACAGAGGGGCCGAGGGAGCGCAGCGGGGCGGGAGCGGGAGGAGGCGGAGCCCCCCTCGCGCCGCCATCCCCCCTCCCCGGCCGCCGCTCCGCGGGCCCGGCCCGCACCCACCTGCGTGTCGGCCGCCATGGCGCCGCCTGCGACCCCGGAAGCGGTAGCGGCTTCCGGGACGGGCGGCGCGCGGCGCCGGCCGGGGCGGGCCCGTCTCCATAGCGACGGGAGCCGCAGCCCGGCCCGGCCCGGCCCGGCGAGCCCCGACCCCCCCGCAACGGCCCGACCAGGAACCAGCGGCTCCACCGCCCGGACACGGCCCGGGCCCGGCAGGACCCGCGCAGCCCCGCGGGCGACGCTCCTCCCCAGCCCCCGGCCAGGCTGACACCCCACCAGCGACGCGGGCACACGTGAAGGTGTAAAACAGCTTTTTTATTTCTCCAGCTGGAGCAACTCTGACACAAACAGACAGGCACTGGCTGCTGTTAGTCAAAGAGGCCGAAGCCCATGTCCTCATCAGACTCCTCAGATTCCTCCTTCGCTGCCTCTTTGGCTGGAGCCGCGGCGGCGGCAGCGGCAGCTGGTGCGGCTGCTTCAGCTACCACGGGCATGGCGGCCACAAAAGCAGAGGGGTCTGCCAGGAAGGCTTTCACCTGCAAAAGGTGGGGAAAACAGGTGAACTCAAAGGAAACAAACATTATGAAGGATTGAGCCTTTGTAATTGTGAAGTCAATGCTTTCAGCTTTCCAGAAGCCAAACAGCCACACTTACCACAGCCACATGTAAGGAATCAAAGATATTTCAGCTACATATAAGTATAATAATGCAAGGGAGGAAGGATCAGCAGGTAATTCAGCTTCCTCCTGCCACTCGTACAGAACGTGTTCAGGACAGGTCCCTCACACACAGGCAGAGTCTTTTCACACCAGGTAACACACAAGGTGTTTGTGCAGAAGCACCTGGCCACAGTTTTAACACCCTTTGCAGCAGATCACACTCAGCCGTTACCTTTTCAGCCAGAGGGAAGGTGTAGTCGGTCTCCACCGCCACAGCCAGGACCCGCTTGTACCCGTTGATGATGGAGTGGGGCACAGAAGCGATGGTTGGGTACCCAATCTGCAGACAGACGCTGGCAACATTGCGAACACCCTGTGAGGAGAGAGATTCATGTTTCCGTGTGCTGAGAAACCTGGGCTAGACCTGGCGGCAGGGAAGGGCGCGCTGCCATTGTCCCGAGGCAGTAAAGCAGCTCCAGTGAGATCAGAGGAGGATTTAAATGGCCTAAAGCGCTTTTCTGGAGTAGCTTCAGATGAAGAAGCCTACAGCAGGTACTCCCTGACAGCCAGGGATTGCTCCTGGCTCCGCAGAATCTCGCGGAAAAGACAAGATGATCGTTCCTTGCAGGACAGTGCCGACTGCCACAGCACCGAGGCCAAGAGCCTGCACGCACCAGACACAGGTTGTCGCACTCACCTCCAAGAAGCGCTTGTGCAAAGTCTCCTCAGTGATGTCCAGCACTTCAGGATTGTAAATGCTGCCATTGTCAAAGACCTGCTGGATCACCAGCCCGAAAGAGAAGGGGGAGATGTTCAGCATGTTCAGCAGGGTGGCTTCGCTGGCACCCACTTTGTCTCCGGTCTTGATGAGCTGCACATCGCTCTAAGGAAATAAGGGGAAAAAGGAGTAAACAAGTGCAAAGAGATTCAGGCACATCAATGCAATGGGACACAAACGCTCATTTCCAATGGCAAGAGATGGAACTGAAGGAACAAATGAGCACAGAAACAGGCACCAAGTTCAGTTCGAGGAAGCCGTAGGCCACACAAGCAAGTCCATCTCAGGTAGAGGGGCAGCGCCCTTCCCGCACTGCCAGCAGGCCACTCGCCTGTTCCTCCAGCAGAGCTTAACCACGCAGCTGAGATGTGATGGAGAACTTAAATCCCCGCGCACTGCATACCGCAGCCAAGCCAGACATCCTCCTTCCAGTTCCCAGCGTGCAGCCCTCGAGCTGCTGACAGTATTTCAGCACCAACGGGAGCTCTGACCTTTACAGCTCCATCAGCTGCCACAGTCGGGGCCCTCCGGTCAAGGAAGAGCTTCTCCAACAGCAGCAGCATGCTGCTCACTAACCAGAATTTCAATGGTCCCTCTTGAAATCTTCGTGGTGATGCCCAAGGCCTGGAAAAAGGAGGTCTTCTCAGGTCCAAGACCAGTGTTCTGGGCCGGCACAGTCACATCGCAAGGAGCAATAGCACCGGCACGGGCAGCTGCTGGCACCTGGAGAAAGGGAAAACAAGAAGCTGACAGAGCACCCACCTCTCAGATCACGTGGGATGGCATCAGCTCCCTCCTGATGTGCTCCTCCCGGACAGACAGCACCCAGGAACACACAAACGAGGCAGAAGTTGAACACGAGCAGTTTGGCTAAGGCTGCAGGGGCCTAGTTCCCAACCCCTGAAGTCTCCTAATGGATCAGGTATCCCCCACACAGTTTCAGCTTTAATTCTGTATCTCCCAGCCCAGAGACATGGTGAGAGCTGCTCTCCCTTACCTTGTTAGCCAACAGCATGTCCCGGATTTCCGTCAGATCCTCCTTGGTGAAGACAAAGCCCACATTCCCACGGATGTGAGGCAGCAGCCTGAAGGAAAGAGGACAGCCTTCAGTTCTGCTCCTGAGACAACATCTCCTCCCCAGACAGAGAATCCAGGAGTACATTCAGACAGCATTACCCACTTTTCTAAGGCCGGGTTATTCTCCAGATGACCACGAATAGCTTTGCGCATCATTGTATTCTTCCCCATCAGCACAACAGCCTTCCCACGCAGCGACATACGGATTTGCTGCATCTGCTTGGAGCCCACGTTGTCTGCTCCCACAATAAAACATTTTGGGTAGTCATCCAGGAGTTGCTATTGCAAGAAAAACACTGTAACTACACAAAGAAATCTTGGCCAGTGCACAGAACAGCATTAAAACCTCAACATGTTAAAATATTAAAAAAAAAGAACTGTCATAACTTTGAGTGCTCAGCTCAAGCTGATGGTGGGTGCACTCAGCTATCTAGTTAGATCCTTAAACCAATTATCTCTGTAAGTGTCACAGCAAATTCTGAAATGAGCCTCGAAAGCAGTCTGACTGGACTGTCTTAATCTCTATTGCCACGTAATCGTTCCTTAAACAACCAACCTATAGCACCCCCTCTTTGTTTTAAAAAGAGATCCCCCCTGCAGACACGCCAGCCCGATTCCCGCCGCCCCGGGCAGCGCCAGGGCCGTTTTCTGGGGGCCGGGATGGCCCCCGGAGCCCAGCGCCCCGGGAGGGCCAGGCCAGGCCTCAGCGCTCCAGGGCCGCGCCGACACTCACGATGATTTTCATAAAGTAGTTGGACTTCCACGTAGCCCTGTCTTCCCTGGGCATCGCGGCGGTGCTCCAAGGATCGCCCGGTGGGTTTAAAGACGAGCTGGAACCTGCCAAGGAGAAGCACAGCTCAGGCGGGTCCCCGGCCCTGCCCGTCCCGTCCCGCTCCGGGCCCGGCCCCAGGAGCGGCTGCGCCGCGCACCCACCTCCACGAGGGCTCCGGGAAAGAAAGGCCGGAGGGCGGGCCCACCTCCTTTTATAGCGCGGCTCACGTCCAATCGCAGCGACGCGGCGTCTTACCCCCCTCATCCCATTGGCTGCCCGCCACCTGTCAATCAGGGGGGACGGCTGTTCTGATTGAGCAGCGCGCCCGCCCCCGGCGGAAGCCGCGGGCGGCGCAGGATGGCGCGCGGCGCTGGCAGGCTCGGGCGCCCCCTGGCGGCGGGAGGAGCGCCCTGCAGCCCCCAGAGCCCACCCCCCCTCAGGGCCGAGGAGCGGGGGGCGCTTCTGCTCGGCTTTCTGGAAACAACGGCAATGCACACGTGAGAATAATGGCAAAAAATTTTATTAGCGTAACTGCAAGATTTTTAAAGGGGAAAAAAGAAAGCGGAGTTAGGAGTTTACAAGGGGAGAAAAAGCAAATAACTGTCGACCCAGCGGAACATCCCTCAGCCCAGCCCGAAGGTGGTGTGAAAGGCCGGGGGTGGAGAGGGGGCTGCACGCAGAGCTGAGGCCTTTAAAGACAAAACCTCCACAGCCGCCACCCCACCCCCCTCCTCTCCTGAGGACACAGGGCCCCCTCCGGCACCATCCCCAGCCGTCACATCCCTTCCCTACCCCCACGCCACCCTCCCGGGCCACTCGCGCACCACCGTGGCTGTGCTACCCTGAAACTGCATCTGAAATCAAATAACAGGCATTTTGGACATCCACAGTGGCCGCAGCCACCAAAAGTCATTATTTGGCAGAATAGCATCCGTGTAGCATCCCAGCATGTCAGAAACCAGATAAATCCCAGGACACGCTCAACATCTTGCTCAGGAGGTAAGTGTTTAGCGATCTCCGTCCAGCACTAATGACAGACGAGCCTCCCTTTGGGTGCTGTGCCCCACCAGCACCCTGCCACGGCACCCTACACCCAGGGTTTTCCACGTGTGCCAGAAGCATCACTTACTCCAGCCTCAACTAGCAGTGAGGTAGGTTAAAGACTCCCCGGACGGGGAAACTGAGGCACATGATTACACAGTTTGCAGGTGACACACAACGAGCAGTAGTGCCAGAAGCATCTTCTTGCTCCCCTCCAGCACTCCCAATGCTACAGCTTTTTGTCCTCTTAGCAGGGCTGAAAGAAGTTGACCTTTTCAGCGAGATTAAACATACGCAACTTAGAAGTGTCCATTTTAAGTCAAATGAGTTTCTAAAGGTGAAAAAACAAAGGTGTAAGGTTTCTTGCCTTGCAAACTCTCCAAGAGCTGTGCTCAGCCCAGCTGACGCAGCTTTAGCTCTAGTGCTTCCACAGCTCCCTTCAGTCTCACAACCACAAACTGAGGTTCATTTCTACAGGGAGATTGGTGAAAAACAGTTTCGGTGACCCAAGCAGGGCAGCAAAGCACCATGGCAAGGTTACATGGGACAGTAACTTGCAGATTCCAGCCCAAGGTCAGGCTGCTTTCTGACACAGTTCCTCCCGGACTCCTAATGCACCTGCCAAGCTGAAAAGCACAATCAGATGTTGACAGTGACATTGCTGTAGCACTCTGGAAAAGTAATTCGAAACACCACTCCCTGGGCTGCTCCGGCTGTTACCACAGAACACCATCAGGTATTTCAACATAATATTTCACCTTCTACAGCACCCTCCAGCCAGAGACCTAGAAGTGCTTTAGTAAATGTGAACTAAGCCCCACAATAACCTCACAGATCCAGGCTAAACTACCCCCATTTTACAGATGGGGAAACTGAGGCACGGTCAGGTTTAGTGACTGACCCAAAGTTACACAGCTAGGCAGGAACAGAGTCTGTCTCTTCCAATTTCTTCTCCTTAGTCACAAGACCTTTCTTCCACAGTAGAAAAGGAACCCCCTCCCCAATTAGCCCTGCTCTGGTTTCAGGTGGCTGAAGAAGAGAAACCAAGGGCAAAGGTCTGAGCTTTTCTCCCCTGCAGCATCATATTAAGACTCACTGTAAGATCCTGGAAGCTGGGCTTTGGGAGAATGGCAGGTGATTCAAATACAGCAGTTTACAGGTTACAATAAAAACCAAAAAACCACACTTTTAGGTGACCCAGAGGAGGGGAATCAAAAAAAAAAAAAGCTATTCACAGTTCACCTGCCTGTGCTAGGAAAAAAAAAAAATACAAGTCACATTCCCCTCCCCATAGATTCCAGCCCCTCCCAACCCGCAATAAAAAGAAAATATTGAATGTTAGTTAGGCTTAACAAAGCATTGAGGTTACAGATGCAGTAAACCAGCACAACTGGCATACTGCCTAGAACAGCACAGCTTGATATAAAAGTTGCTTTCTTAAAATCACTTCAAAACCAATTTCTGTATAAGAGGATTAAAAGTAAATTAGATATGAATTCAAAATCAGTGTAGAAATCTACAGTTCTTATCAAAGACAGGATACAGTATTCACTTCGATAGTAAAACTCCAAGTGTGTCACACACACCTGACCCAAGGGACTTGTTATACCAGTAACAGTCAATATAAAAGGTTATTGCTCTAGCATTTCTCAGTAGAACATATTTAACAAGAGCACAGAAAAGGGAAATACCCAGGGGCTGACAGGTCTCATTAGCAAAGAGAGGAAGAAGAAAGGATATAAAGTTTGGATCTTTTTTTTTTTTTTCCTGACTTCTTAAACCCCTCCACTTCTCCCTGCTATTGACAGTTTCAGGCCCCGATAGATGGGAGTTTCAGGCCAGAAAAACACACACACGTCACACTCGCTCATGACCGTGATGGATGAAAAAGGCTGTGCTCTACCCTCACTGCACCTGCTTTTAAAGAAGGCACAATGCCTCTTCCTCCCTCCTGGGAGCAGCAGACAAGGGGAGCAGATGCCCTGAGCAGGCCTAGGTGCTGACAGAGGTGCCCAGCGTGTGGGACATCACCCACAGAAGCACACATCAGTGCTGAGGGATGGTGGGGGCTTACTGCACCTCCTGCTCCAGTGTGTTGAGAAAAGGCAGGGAATAACAAACTAGGGAAAAAAAAAAAAAAAACAAACAAAGAAACAAAACAAAACACCCCACACAGTAACACCTTGATTCCTCTTAGCAAAAAAAAAAAAAAAAAAAAAAAAAAAGGTAAGTGGTATCATCTCCTTACAGTGTAATGGAACTGGAGAGACCCTTGCAGGGTCTTGGCTGCCTGTGCTGATGCTCTGGTCTCCGTAAGTCACACACGCCACGTGGCTCCAGTGAGCAGAGCCAGGGTGGCACCAAGATCACAGGGTGTCCTCGCTGTGCTGCCGGTCAGGCTGCACATATGCAGACAAAAGCCTGAGAAAGAGGTGTCAAAGCAGAGGGCTGCACTGTCTGCAAGTGTCACAATTCGCTCAGGGAGCTGACACAGGCTGAAAGGTACTGGCAAAGACTCCTTCTGCCAGAAGGGGGCTGGGGAAAATCTCCCCGTTGGAGCCCTGGAGCTAAGCTCAGCTGTCAGTCACACACACAGACACACACACCGTTATGAGAGAACTCGGCCTCTCTCTGAGACACAGCAAGGGCATTTCCAGTTTAATGGTCCGTCTCATCTCTGGATCTACTGCCTCTCCATAGCAGCAGAAAGCACTCCCACCCCACCCCCACCCCACCCTCCTCCCCTGCCTGGTACGGTTTCTAAATCACAGTAATGTTCAGAGAGACAGAACTGCCAAGGGGGTGGCAGAAAGATGCTTAGCGCCCATCTATGATGCTTCTAACAGAAGAGCTTGAGAAAGCAGTTCTGGCAGTAGGGCTTGTCGTTCTGTTCTTTGAAGGTTCCTTTGTTGAGCTGCTTGAGGCAGAAGGCACAGACAAAGTGTTCGGGGTGAAATTTCTTGCCCATAGCAGTGATGCAGCGTCCTGTGATAGGCTTCTGGCAACCGGAGCAGAGCGAGCCACGACGCTCGTGGTAATGCACCTCGCAGTAGGGCTGCCCATCATGCTCAAAGAAGCTGCCGTTGATGAATGGTGTGAAACATTCCTGCAGGAGGATAAAGCAGAAGGGGACAGATTGTATAACCAGCCGGGGATGCAGGCAGCTCCACAAGCCTCCTCTGCTCCATGGCACGGCCTAGCTGTGCTGTGAGCAGGGTGAACTGCTGCCTCGCAGCATCATCCTGTTGTCTGAAGAGCCAACTCTGTCCATCAAAAAGAGTTTACAAGGAAAGGCTGATAGACAGACAGATACAGCCACAAGCAAGGGAATTAACTATGTTCCTTCTCCCAGCTGGTTTAACTTCTACAAAGAAGATGGGATGGATGAGCTACCAGATGTGTCCAGCCAGAAGAAAGGAGAACACTGCTTCCCCTGAAATGGGAAACACTGCAGCACTTTTCCCTTTTTTTTTTTTTTTTTTTAAATCATACTTCAGCTTCCCCACAATGGCAGGTAAAAGCAGGGACCAGCACAGACTTTCATGCAGCAGAATTTTGATGAGCATGGGACTGGTCCCAGCTGTGAAAATGAGGCAATAATTAATCCTGGCACAAGTGATCTCTTCAAAATGGGTGGCATTACACAGGTAACACTTTGCACAGGATCCTGAAACATCTCTACCAGGTACACACGTATTGCTACTGGGAGAAACTGGTTGTTCTACAGTGCTAATGATTTTGAATAGATGAGAAGAGGATACACTGTGCTTATTAGCATCCAGCGCTCCTCACCCCTCTCAGTGTCAGGCAGTTGAGGATGCTACACTTCAGAACCTGCAACCACCATCCCCACAAGACTGGGTAAACTCCCCTCCTTGTACAAGTGGGAAACTGAGGCAGCAGAGTGTGGGGGAGAGTCGAGGATACTGCCAGATTTACCAAACAGATCATCATCAGGGCCCAGAGAAGCCAGATTCCCAGAACCCTGGTTTTGCCCAGCCCCAACACCATCCCCTTCCCTAAGTATCACACACAGCTGGACCCAAACAGGTACACAGGAGTCCAGCAAACAGCACGCAGAGCCATGGATAGCTAAACGCTCTCAATACCAGGATGAATGCTGTTTGCCTGCAGTGAGTCAAAGACTTTTTCTAATGCTGACAATTAGTTCAATAAACAGTTTCCTCCCTCAGTCAGCAGGAGAGCTGAAAAGTCTGCTCTGCATTAGCAAAAACAGGAAGAGAATCCCATCTCATGTCCTGGAAGACATCAGTGCTGGCCCCACCGACACAGGAAGGAAAGCAGAGCTGCTTGATGGAAGTCTCAATCTCTGCACAAAAAGGCACAGCCCGCCCCAGCCCCACACAGTCAGGACTGCTATCTTCTGCCTCCACCCTCCGCACACCACTCTGGGAGCCACAGACAGTTCTGGGCAGGGAGTCCCAACAGCATGGTGACAGTCGGCTCTGAGCACCATACCAGGAATCGGCAGCTTGTGGTTCTGCTCTTTGTTCCGGTCTCTGCCTTTTTTTCCCCACTCTAGGAAAAACTGGCTGATTTTGCTCATCTCTTGGGGCCTGTAAGAGTTAATATTTGCAAGGCTCTCTGAAAGAGTGCCAAGCATTTAATCTGCAGTATTCCTGTTTATTATGCCTGTTGTATGGAGCCTGCCACTATTGCACTGACTTGCATGTTTGTCTGAACAAGGTCAGTCTCATTAGTTTACATTGTCAGATGGAGCATGGAAGATCCTCAAAATCTGATTGCTGAGGCAAGTGCTTAGAGAGAAGCTTAGCTTATAATTATTTAAAGGTCACAGAAAATGTCTGTTTATCTGTGAGCTGCTGCAGAAGCCCATAATTGCAGCTGGGAACAGAAAGAGCAAAGCAGCTAGAAAGTTCAATGTAAACAGGCAGAGGAACAAGAAGGTGTTTGGCTGCTGACATGTTTTTATCTTGTGGGGCTTGCTGCCCTTCACTACCCCACAGACGCCTTCTCCTGATAAGGAACCAGATGCCTGCAGGGTGGAAATGAGAGGGGGCGTACAGCAGCACCAAAGGACCTTGGGTTTCTTACCCGACAGACAAAGCATTCAGGGTGCCACAGGGTGTTCAAGGCAGAGATGTAGTTTTCCAGGATAGCCCGGGCACAGCCTCCACATTTGGGAGCAAACATGTCAAAGTAGTCCTTGCGGCAATAGGCTTTGCCATCCTTCTCATGAAACCCTGAAAAAAGAAGAGAGGCAAAGAGCATCAGCTCCTGATCTTTACCTATAGCCAGCCAACCTCTACGGGGTAACCAGTGTGGGTAGGATCACCCCTCCCCCTGCTAACACATACAGCAGGTAGCTGTTCCTTGTTCTGCTGCCCTTCCTGTCCCATTCGCACATGCATACTCTTCCTCCTCTCCAGGGAGGAAAGAAGATTGCTGCTAGCATCCTTCCCCCATAAGCAGCTATGTCCCTTGGAACTTCCTTCTTCAGTAGCTCCCCCGTCACCTCTCGGGCTGGCCCCTACTAGCAGCTCTGCCTTACACACTTGTCTGCAGTTCAGGGAAGAGATTGCATAAACCAGCAATACCTTCAGGTCCGAAGAAAGCTCCGCACTGGGCACAGAAAAAGTGTTCAGGGTGCCATGTCCTGTCCAAAGCTGTCACCACTTTCTGTTCAGAAGAAGACAAAGTGCAAGTCATGTAAATGATTACTTCAGCTTGAAAGTAAGGCGGGGCTAGGTGGGGGGGAAGAACACATTAATGTTGGTACTGACAAGCGCATGCATTAAAATAGACTGTCCTTTAGAGAGCGGAGTCAATTCTGGCCCCCCTCTGTCTCATTCACGCTTTCCCCACTGCACAGGTTTTTTAACCCTAAAAGGATCTTACGCACTACTTCCTCCCTTATACAGGGCCCCGTCCAGCTCTCAGGACTAGCACTGGTGCCTGTTAGTAAAGGCTACCAATAGACAAAAGCTGAGGAATCATTACTGGAATGATGGAGTGATGTTAGGTTCTGAAGGAACTTCAGCAAAGGTAAGAGAGACTAACCCCTCTCACTAGTGTTAAGAATTTGACTGGGCCAAGTTGTTTCCCTTTCACAGACAGGGCGAAAGAAAAACAGAAGTCCCCAAACAAAATCTTCCATCCAGAACACAGGGGTGGAGTTTTTAACATCCAGGCCTGCAGCAGCTTGCCAGTGCCCTTACTCCCCCCAAGGAACTCACATCAAGGATGGGCCCATTGCAGTAGTAGCAGCGAGGGGAGAAGAGGTTGTGATAGTCCTTCTCGCAGTAGGGCTGACCATCCCGCTCAAAGAAGTTCCGCGACCCGATCTCTTCCTGGCAGTGGGTGCAGACGAAGTGCTCAGGGTGCCAGGTTTTCCCCATGGCTGTAACTACCTGTTGGGAAGACAAATTATGAAGGACAATTCTATCTCCCTCTCCCCTAGAACACATGACAAGATACCAGCTGGAGGTCAGCAAGAATGATAAGTTCTACTACTCAAGTGAGCCCTGGACTGGGGTAGCATGAAAACTGAATTACCTATCATCTCAGGAGAGGGCAGTCCCTCAAGGGCAGGGTAGAGGTCACTGGAGGAGCTTACAGCGTACCTAGCCAGTGGATAAATAGAGTACTTCAGTTTCTCCAGCATCTCCAGTCTCTTCAGCCTCACGAAACAGCCCTCCCCATTACTCCCAGCTGCAGCCCAAGATTCAGCAATGAGACAGCACCTTCAACTCACCTGCCCAGCAATAGGCTTCTTGCAGGCTCCACAGACACCTTTGGCAACAGTAGCGACACCCAGTTTGTTCAGGTCAGACTGGAGACTTCCCAGCATGGTGTCCAGCTGACTGCCAGGCTTGGAGGCCGTGGATGGAGGGGAGCTGCTCCCAGCCTTCCCCTGTGCCATGAACTGCAGGGAAGAGAAAACAAAGACTGTAAGCCAAGCGCTGCTGTGCTTACACAATAAATGCCTGCTGTTGCTGCCAGTAGCTCTGTAGAGATGGACAGGAGATTGCTAGGAGACAGCCACACTCTCTGCAGAAGCCAGTGAGAGTGAGGATCAGATACACACATGTATTCTGCCCATGCAGAGACATGCAGAGACCCTGGGATGTATAACAGCAGAGCTGTGAACCAAGGACTTCATTTTCCTTCACTGTGCATACAGCAAAAGTCACCAGCAGATCCCAAGGAATCAGCACAGTGCTCTCTAAGCCTCTGCCAAAAATCTCCCTTTACCTCATCAGTTCCTGGCCAGCTGACAAAGCAGAGATGGTATCCAGAGGGCCCCTTCCCCTTGACCTCTCTCCATTCCTACGCTGTTGCTCTCCCTCAGTTGTCACCCTCTCCTCTCTGATAGAAATCCCTCTCCTCTTCCTCATCTCGCCTCCCTTTCGTCCAGAATATTTCCTCCCTTCCCTTCCTTCTGCAGATCTTTTCGCCAGGTCTCCTTTGCCCCCATCAGGTGGCCCTCATCCCACGCCTGAGCAAAGCAAGTGGAAGCAGGAAGGAAATAACTCTCTTCCAGTTGCCTGCTGTTTACCTACAGAGAGGGCAGTGCACCCACAGCAGAGCCCTAGCAGACAGGACTGCAACGGAAAGACTGCCACGTCTATTGTCGGACAGCTAGAAATGCACAGGGGTGGGGGGAAAGGGATTAAGATACTTGTCTCAGAGGCTGTTTCTGAACCTCACAGCACCACAGTACACATGGCTTGGAAAGGCTTCCCAGAGGAGGGGAGAAATGTTTTACTTAGGTTCAGAAACTTACAAAGTATACGTTCTCTTTGGCCACCAAAGTCTCCTTTGCAGACAAATCACAATAACAAAATGCAGATTATTTTAGCTGACATTGCACTGCAATAGCTAGTCAGGTTTAGAGAGACCCAAAGAAGTCCCTCCCTGAGATGTTGGTTTGAAGCACATTTTCTCCTACTAAGAGGATAGATTAAAACAGACATAAAATCTACACTTGTGAACTACCCACCACCCTGCTGCAAACACAGCCAGGCGAGCAGGGACACACTGAAGTACTTCAGAGCCTTGGCAGAACCTGCCCTTCCAGCCACAGGAGGAGCTCTCTTCCCTGTCCTGCAGCTGGTTGTACTTGTAGTCAACTAGTTTACTCAATGACAAGACCTGGTTTCTACTTGTTTGTATAAAAATTCTCATGACATACATAATTTTAGCTTTTTTTACACACACATATACACATACTCCTCATCAGCCTTGCCTTGCATGCAGCATGACTCCCAACGGAGCCCAACAGACAGCTTTTCCCCTCCTCCTCCCAGACATCTCATAATTTGCAACCTCTCCTAGTCCAGCAGGACAGAACAGACCCATCACACTCCAATGTCCTGAGCTTAAACCAAACCCTCAGCCACACAGTAGTTGTTTGCTACCAAACAGTTACAGTGGATGTCTCCAAAGCACACCACTGCAAGGACATTTCTCACAGCCGGAGACAACAGGCTCTGTACACAAAGCCAGGCCAGAGTCCCAGGACAAAGCCAGGGCTTCCTCAACATCACAGCAGGAAGAAAAGGGCTTGACCGCGTCAAGAGAGTCATATCCCTCTCTCAATCTAACAAGGGACTTGTGGCCACCAGGCAGGGCAGGCACAAAAGCCACATACAAATAACAAATACCATTCTGGAGAGAAAGGAGATGAGATGAATTCAACATGTAGCCACAGAACACTTCACCCTTGCCTGTAGGGACCACACACCCCTGCAAGCCACAGCTGACCTCAGTGCAGGCACAGCTACCTGTGCACAGTACAATTTCTATCTGGCCTGGTGATCCAGCCTTCCTGCCAACTCACACATGTCCCCACCTGAAAGAGGTTAGTTTCCACCTCCTGCACACAATGCCTGCTGTTTACAGGGGACACTCAGTACTGCATCCACATAAATTCATCATGCAAAGGCCCTTCAAATTCCCACCCTTCACCCCTGAGGTCTGACAGTAGTCAAGTTCAGTTAGGAGCTCTATGAGCAGCAAACCATGCACTACAGGATATCATCTACACTAACAGTGCTGGGAGCTCTCGGAGCAGATCCCCACAGTATCTGCAGCACACTCATCAACCAGAAGAACACACCATGCTAAGCAAACAGAAAGGAGGTCCTGCCTTCTCAGGGCCAGGGGGGCCCAGGGGTGCATGAGCAGCCAGCAGATTGGCACTGCGGACGAGGGGAGGAGCAGAGGTCACCTGAAAAGTACAACAGTTCGAGATGTAGAGGTGTTTCCTTGCTCACTGCTTGAAAGCTGGCTGTACGCATAACATTGCACACTACTGCACTGCTCATAGACATTAAGACTTCCCACCATCCTGGAGCCCTTCCCTGACAGCAGATGCAGAACACAGCTCTTGATCATAACATCTCCTCCCCCAAATCCACTCGCACTGTGGACACCTGTCTAAATGGGAAAACACAGGAAGGGCTGATCTGCTCCTTCCAGTATCAAGATTTTGCCATCTTTTACTCTCCCACTCCATGAGAAATTGTGTCAGGGAGAGTTGCAGCCTGTATTTCAGAGCTATCTTCTTCATCTCAGAGGGAAATAGAGTCCCTGCTGCACAAAGTGATCATCAGGACAGACAGGAGCCACACACACCCCAGCAGGTTATTGCACAGACATGTGCTTTGCAGTGCTAGGCAGACACAGCTGGGATTAGAATTTGCCAGTGAGTCTTCTCTCCTGTCCAGTAGCTTAGTACCAGCCTTTACCTGAACATTGTATCTACTGAGCTATCAAGCTGAGAGCAGTACTTGGAATAGAAAACACTGCCAAAAAAACAAACCAGAGAGCAAAGCCTGCCTGCATCTGTGGGAAGAAAGCGTCATCTTCAGTCTGACAGCCAACAGAAACAACTGTCTTAGTGCTAGGGGTCCATGTCTGGGGAGAACAGGAATGCCTAGGATCTTCAGAAGGCGGGGTGCCCACAACAGAAAGCTCATGATAATCATCATCAGAAGTTTCCCATTGGAAGAGAGGCTGGGGAGCCAAGCTGAAGGAAGAGGAGGAAACTGGACTAGGAGCTGGGGTAGATGGCACGTGAGAAGGCTGAGGCGGGAGTGGGAGGAGAGGTGCAGGGCCAGAGACATGAGAGGGAGCAGCATTAGCAGGAACTGTCTTTGCAGCTTCTTTGGAAGGCTGAGGAGGGGGAGAGGCTGGAACAGAGACTGTCCTCCTTGGGGGGAGCGGGGATTCTGGAGGAAAAACCACCTAGAAAGACATGGAGGAAGAAGAAAGGTGAATAAAACCAAAGAGGAACCAACAAGCACTTCCTGCAACAGGAAGGCTAATTGTTACCAGTATGTTTATCTAAGGGGAAAAAGCAGCAAGAAAGAGAAGGGAACTAGAAAACGTGCTTCTCTGTGTAGCTCAAGGAAGAGCATCATCTTATACCCACAACTTCCTGCACAGGTACAGTACTGGGGAAAACAAAGCATACCTCTATGACAGGCTTCCAAGTGAAGTTTTAAAAATAATTCCCACATGGACGTTTGACATGTGATAGTAGCAGACTGCCCAAACAGATATCATCACCACCACCCTCAGATCCCACTCCAATTCTTAAACACCAAGAACTAAGACCAATGTGCTGGTTCCCTTTTCAGGCCAAACAAGGGTGAGTAAAAGAGTTAGTTCTTCATTTTGTGTTGCTTAGGACACTCAGAAACTTAACCTGCACCTCCACACAATGCTATCTGGACAGAGGGACATGCTGGAATTTCCCAGCACACGTCCCTGCTTTCTACCTTCTCTACTTGCTGTCCACCATTCTGCTCTTCCCCCTGGGGTCTGGCAGTGATAATGACCCCCTCTGTCAGCCAGTCATCCTGGCTTTTCCACTCTTCCTGTTCCTGTTTAGCGATGCCCAGTCTGTCCTGCAGCTCTTCAATCAAGCGATCTTGGGATTTGGTCTTGTGAAATATGGCAGGACCTAGTTTACGCCTTGAAGAGAGGTCACGATACATTGGATGCACATTCGCAGTCTCTTTTGTCCTCTTGATTAAAGATTTAATCTAAATGACAAAGGTAATAGTATCAGCAGAGAAGAGCAATGTCAGAGCAAGCCCCAAGATGCAATAGCACAAACTCAAGCCATTAGTGACAACTGTGAGCAGGAAGAGTGATGACATTTATTCCACAATGCCAAAATTCCTCTTGGCACAGCCCAGAACAGTGAGTCAGTACAAGGAAAAACCCCGTAAGGATAATCACAGCAGCCAAAAATAACTATCTAGAAAAGGAAGGGAAAGATTAACCAGCAGGAAGCCAAGATAGGGGGTGCAGCATGACCACTCCACTGAGTTGTTGCTGTGAAGAAACCTCCGCATCACAAGGACACAGAGCAGCCTCCCTGTGTTTGCCCTTTACAGGCATAAGACTCTTGGTCAGAGCTGTCTGTTGCACAAAGCGTACTTCCAGTGCTGGAAGGAACACCAACAGTTCAAGCAATGAGACCTAAAAAGGCTAGCAGAGCAGAGGCGCTGCCAACCCAAGTCAAGAACATCCTCCAGTGGCGTGAAATAGCCCTTGAACTTTTCAGAGGCCTCTGTGGACTGAGCCTTACCCCAGCTAGGGAATAGAAGTCCATTTCACAGGGAAGTCCCCACAAACTGCCACGTTCTGTGCTCCTGACTGACATGCAGAAGAGACCACAAGATAAAGCAGATGATTTCAAACCCCCATGACATGCAGCTGTCAGTAGCATTGCTCAGAGCTGCATGCTGTTAGTGTGGGTGAGTCTGGGCACACTCACACCACACACAAAATGTTAGTGCGCTGTCAGAACACTCCTAGCTAGTACTCATCCTACTCCTACATTCATTCAGTGCCTGCCTGGCCTGATGCAGAAATCCTCTCAATGGGTGGTTTGGAGATGCATGGTAG